CCCCCCCCCACGTCGGTACTGAAGCCGTAAAAATCTCGACGACGCCTGTCCTTTCGGGTGGAAGCGAGGGATATGGGGTGTGTGTGTGTGGGGGGGGGTGTCGTATCTAAGGCGGGTATGGCTCTGTTCTCTTCCGGCTGCCTCCCCCCCCCGTGACAGGTGAAAGATCTTCCCCGAGTCTTATAATTTGGAGAAAGCGGAACCGAAGCTTTGGCAATACCGGAATGGAAATAGGTATAAATCACTGTTCCCTCTAAGCTGAGTCAGTGTGAGCTAGCTCACAATTTTCTAGCCTCCGGCTCACACGTTTTTGTCTTGGCTCAGGAAAGAGGGCTCCAGAGCAAGCTAATTTATGCAGTAGCTCGCAACTTTAATGCCAGGGGCTCACAGAGTAGAATTTTTGCTCACAAGACTCCACAGCTTAGAGGGATCATTGGTCTAAATCCGTTGTCGCTCAAAATGTACCAGTCGGCAGCCAAACAGTGGAAAAATAAGTCCAATGCTCCCTTCTCAAGCAGTGGAGTCTTGTGAGCAAAAATTCTACTCTGTGAGCCCCTGGTGTTACAGTTGTGAGCCAGCCGTTTTGCTGCTGCATGAATTAGTTTGCTCTGGAGCCCTCCTTCCTGAGCTGAGACAAAAATGTGTGAGCCGGAGGCTAAAAAACTGTGAGCTAGCTCACACTAACTCAGCTTGGACGGAACACTGCTTCCGGCTGCCTTTTTCCCCCCTGTTGCAGATGAAAGACCTTCCCTGTTTCTTAAAATTCTGAGAAAGCGAAACCGAATCTTTGGCAATACCGGAATGGAAATCGGTCTAAATCCGTTGTGGCCCAAAATGTACCAGTCGGCAGCCAAACAGTGGAAAAATAACTCCAATGCTCCCTTCTCAAGCAGTGGAGCCTTGTGAGCAAAAATTCTACTTTGTGAGCTCCTGGCGTGAGCCGTTTGGCTGCTGCATAAATCAGTCTGCTCTGGAGCTGTCCCTTCCTGAGCTGAGACAAAAATGTGTGAGCTGGAAGCTAAAAAACTGGGGTCTAAAAAACTGGGAGCTGGCTCACACTAACTCAGCTTGGAGGGAACACTGCTTCCGGCTGCCTTTTTTTTCCTGTTGCAGATGAAAGACCTTCCCCGTTTCTTAAAATTCTGAGAAAGCGAAACCGAATCTTTGGCAATACCGGAATGGAATAGGTCTAAATCCGTTGTGGCCCAAAATGTACCAGTCGGCAGCCAAACAGTGGAAAAATAACTCCAATGCTCCCTTCTCAAGCAGTGGAGCCTTGTGAGCCAAAATTCTGCTTGGTGAGCTCCTGGCGTTAAAGTTGTGAGCGAGCCGTTTGGCTGCTGCATGAATTCGTTTGCTCTGGAGCCCTCCCTTCCTGAGCTGAGACAGAAATCTCTGAGATGGAGGCTAAAAAACTGGGAGCTGGCTCACACTAACTCAGCTTGGAGGGAACACTGCTTCCGGCTGCCTTTTTTTTCCTGTTGCAGATGAAAGACCTTCCCCGTTTCTTAAAATTCTGAGAAAGCGAAACCGAATCTTTGGCAATACCGGAATGGAAATCGGTCTAAATCCGTTGTGGCCCAAAATGTACCAGTCGGCAGCCAAACAGTGGAAAAATAACTCCAATGCTCCCTTCTCAAGCAGTGGAGCCTTGTGAGCAAAAATTCTACTTTGTGAGCTCCTGGCGTGAGCCGTTTGGCTGCTGCATAAATCAGTCTGCTCTGGAGCTGTCCCTTCGTGAGCTGAGACAAAAATGTGTGAGCTGGAAGCTAAAAAACTGGGAGCTAGCTCACACCAACTCAGCTTGGAGGGAACAGTGACAAGGCTGCCCTCCTTTTTCACTACCCGCTATATTCAGCAGTCAAATCCCTATACCAGATCTTTGAGACCTCTCTTGTTTTAAGTATCTGGTAACCTGGGTTCATTGACACATTCAGCCTAATCTAACTCATAGGGTTCTTTTGAGGATGAAATGGAGGAGAGGAGAGCCATAGTAATGGCTTTGGGTCCCCATTTTAGAGAAAGGTGGGGTACAAATGAAGTGACCAAATCAACGAAATAATTGAATGTTTTCTTAACAGAAAGCAGGATGCTGAACACACAGAAAGCCAACAAAGACAAGACAAGCTTTCCTATTGCAAAGCTTAGCTTTATATAATTAAATATATAACAGATTGTAGTGGAACAAAGTTCAGTGGCACCTTTAAGACCCAACAAAGACAAGACAAGCTCAACCCTGGCAAGAACAGAGACCCAGCAATGACAGCATCCATCCTCATTACGTATAAACTTCTGTTGTCGTTGTAGGTCCTACAGTGTCAGTGCCTGTAGCCAGTTTTTGACCCATGAGTAATGTATTTAAATAGATATTCTACCATGTTAACTTTAAACAGATTTAGTTCTATTAATTTTAATGGAATTTAAATCTCAAATTATGTGTTTAGAATTGCGGCCTTAATTGTTGAGCTCTCGGTTGGATGAAAGTAGTTTCTACTCAGAACCCTAAATACTTTGGATTTCAGGGTTAGTTAAATTATTTGATCCCACACTCTTAGCTGCATATATTCCTGTGAAAATTTATATTCTCATCTGAGTCTTAACTAATTCGTCATAGGTTCACTTGGCAAGTAGATGAGGAAGCCTGCTAATTACTTCGCTAAAAGTTGAATTAATAGGAGGATGTAGACAACAAAAATGTAGCATTACCTAACTTAAAACCTATGATTATTTTAATCTTCAATAGAGGATTCAGACTTAATTGTGATTTGGGACAGTTTTTTCCTTTTGTGCCTAGAAGCATAAATAAAAATTTGTAGACCATGGCTAGGCAGCTTCAACAAAAACAAGTACTGAAGTTCTATTTTTGGAGATTTACCATTCTATCAAGTTCTCGATAAACTAGGTCAGAATATTGGAAGTTTTTAAAGAGCATTCTAAATATTGTTTGTTTCTGTCCTTGGTGGGATTTGATTGATATTCGTACTCTTTTTTAGTAATGATACCTTTCTTCATTGAAGTATGGGCCATCTCCCATTACCTTCAAGGAAACAAATATATTGGTAATTAATAAATCAAGGAGACTGTTGATTTGTGTGAGGCATTCTACAGCTAGCTGACTCTTACAACTTCTGCTTCACTACATTAGTAGCTCACAGACCACAGGTTTTTTTTCTAACAGCAACGGAAATCCTTTGGTGGCACTGATGCCTCTGACAGCGATTTGCTGAAAAGGGATGGTGGCACAGATAGACTGAACAGCAGAGAGGTATTTTAGGTGCAGAGTCCAGTGCTGGTATTGTTGAAAGCGGGGAGCAGGAGTTTGAAGAACGGGGTTGGTAGAATGAAGGGGGGGAACGATGGGCTGACGTAGGACCAAGACTGTAAGTGAAAAGTTCATGGATTTACATTTTGATCTACAGATAGTGTGTATCTACTTGAAGCCTTACATTTTGTTTTTGTTAATTGGGGTAAAGTTGATTAAGCATGCATAGTAAAGGTTTCCAAGCTGCTAAATGATCTAGTCCATTGCTCTTTGGTCTCTAAACAAATATTTAACGGAGTAGATCTGATAGTGCGGATGTGGATGTTTTTTACTTTCCACAGGCATGGGGGGGAGGCTACAAGGGGACTGAGAAAAATCACTCTTCCTTGCTGTTCTGCTAGCAGAGATCCCACTTGTGCAAGACGTTCCACTGGCTGAAGAGAGGAGTGTTGCGATTTTGTCCAGTTACCCCTCTCATTACGCCCCCGCCGCATGGCATTTTGTCCACAAAGTTCCATATCTCTGCTGTTAGGTTTTTGGGGATTGCAAGAGACTGTGGGGAGTATTGGAAGGTCCATGTTTGGAAGCTCCTTTTGTTCCCATTTAATTAGGATCTAAACCTTTGTTTATACTTTTTTTATATTAGAGAAACACGGTTGTTTAGCCATAGTTCAAAGAACGTTCTGGCTAATGTAGAGTGTAATGTGCACTGTTACGTACGAAGTAGTACACACAAATTTAGAATAATACAAGTGGGGACCCGCAAGAAACTTGCGGGAGCGGCTATCCCATTCCCCCCACCTCTGCTTCTTCCCCCCTCCCTCTACTTCTCTCACACTCCTTCTCCTTCCTGCCACCCTTTCGCTTGCTCTCTCTCTCTCCTCTCCATGTCTGTCACTTCCTTTCTTCCCCTTTCCCATCACTCTTTCTGCTGCTGTCACTCTACCGGCCTCCCACCTACTTCCTCCCCCCCACACACAGCAGCAGCAGCTGCTCTCCAGGAATCAGAAGGGATTACCCAAATACAGAGATCAGTTCCTCTTAGGGCTGCTGGCTCCATGTTGGGAAATTCCTGGAGATTTTGGGGTGGAGCCTTGGGAAGATGAGGTTTGAGCTTGGAAGTGACCTCAGCAGGGTATAATGACATAAGCTCCACCCTTCAAAGCAGCCATTTTCTCTGTGGGAACTGATCTCTGTCATCTGGAGATCAGTTGTAATCCCAGGAGATCTCCAGCCCTCACTTAGTGGTTGGCAACCTTACTTCCCCTGGAGGAAATGACTGCTTTGGAGGGTGGAGTCTATGGCTGAATCCCGCCTCAATCCCCACCCTCTTGAGGGTCCACCCCTCAAATATCTAGGAATTTCCCAACCTGAAGTTGGCATCCCTGTCTCCTTCCCACTCAACAGCCAACCTACCTTTATCTTCTCCTCTGTCTTCAGCTTTCCGTCTCCTTTCCCTCTGCAGCTTCTACTGAGGAAAACTATGGTCTTTCTGCACAGTGGGAGCTAAAGCAGTTTACATTATTCTCTCCTTTCTATCCACACAACAACCCTGTGAGGTAGGTTAGGCTGAAAGTATGTGACTGGTCCAAAATCACCCAGTCAGCTTCCACAGGAAGATGGGGATCTAAACCTGGGTCTCGCAAACCCTACTTTGAAGCGCTGACCATTATGCTACACTGACTTTCATAGGGTAGCTGCTGTTGAACAGTAACAAGCAGCCAGGCCTAGTTGAGTCATGCAAGTCAGGTGGTATCGAGTTATCCATTGGGTGCCGCAAGGCCTAGGTTTGCCAGCCTCCAGGTGGGGCCTGGAGATCCCCCAGAATGACAGTGGAACTCCATAGAACAGAAATCTGTCCCCCTGGAGGAAATGGGTGGATTCTGTGGCGTTATATCCAGCTGAGGCCTCTCCCCTCCCCAAACCGTTCACCACAGAATCTCCAAGAATTCCCCAACCTGGAGCGGGCAATCCTAGTCCCGGCTCCAAACCCCCTGCTGTGTAGCCATTCATTCTGCAGGAGGAATCCTTCCTAATCCCAGATCCAGTCCTGCTTTTTTCTTCCTCCCTTTTCTGTCTTTCTCTCTCTTTCTGTGTCGATGTGGTGGGGCCTGGAGTAGATCCCTGCAGTGGCCATTTCAAAAGGTATTGGGGGAATCCAGCCCTCCCTGTTTTTTGTTTTTAACTTTTTGGATTTTTCTGCAGACCCAGGGAGTCCCCGGAGTATGTAGGAAAACCTTTTGGGGGAGAGTGTGCCCCCTATCTGCAGAAATAAGTATCTGCAGGCAGATAGGACTGTTGCGAATTAGATACATAGATGTAGGAGACCCTAATACTGCTTGGGCTTGTTGTTGACTAAATCGTGATTAGGATTGCGCACCAACTAGGCTGCTTTTGAAGAGTTGTGACGTGGTGCAAACTGTGCAGAATTTAGAAAGGTGCCTGGTTTATTTGTGCAACTGCTTCTATTTTCTTAAGGATAAAACAAGTGGAGTATTGGATTGTGGATTTGACTGTTTCCATGAGATGTTGATCTTGACCATTTTTCTCCCCAGTACAAGTACAGAGACTTAACTGTTCAAGAAACCGTCAGTGTTATTACCCAGTACAAAGACCTTAAGCCTGTAATGGATGGATATGGTAAGCTTTTATTCCCTCCATTTTTCATGTGTTGTATAGTATGGGCGCTGAAATCCAGCTAGCCTTTGGCAGCTTCTTTGTAATAAAGTAAATTGGTCTCCATGTTGTGCCAGCACCTTTTGTGTTGCAGTTGGGAATGTTGAAATTGAGCAAGATTCATTAAAATGTGGTAGGAACTTCTTCCTTATCTGTGAAAAAGTACTCACAGAACCGGGAATTGCAGCACACCAAGGCTCTGATGGCAAAACAGGCTTTGCTTACTTCCCTCTCGTTGCAGCTGCCTTGTCTTGTAAAGCTATTTGTCCACACGGACCCCCTAATTTTAGTGCTCACAGGCATCTACTGGGGAAAGAAGAAGGTGGGTGAGATCCTACAGTGCCTTCTACTGGTGCTGCATGGGGTCTTACTTTATGGTTTGTTTGTTTTTTAAAAAATTGTAGGCTGTCTGTCTTAATGCCATCTTGGCAGTTGTTTCTCTTTTTACAAAATATTGTTGCTCCTGAGCACAGTACTTGAAAACATGAATAGCCTTTATTGAGTTTGTCCCTTTGGCCTTGAGTGCATGGGACAGATTTGCGTAGGCTTACCAAGTGCCGGCGGGGGATCTGCGTGTCTTGGCAGGATCCCTGCCACGGGGACGGCGACACGCGTTGCACCCGCCGTCGCCAGGAAGTGACGCTACGCGTCGCTCTGGCAACAGGGCTGTTTGGAGTCCCGTTGCCAGAGCGACGTGTAGCGTCACTTCCTGGCGAGGGCGGGTGCAACGCGTGTCGCCGTCCCCGCGGCAGGGATCCTGCCAAGACACGCAGATCCCCCGCCGGCACTTGGTAAGCCTAGATTTGCCATAGTAGGAAAAAGCATGGAATTATAGCTGTTTCTCAGTATTTATTGTCCCTGAAGGTGCTTGCTTGTATATACTATGCAAAGAATATTTTAAGATCAGTATGTGTGTGTATAATGTACATATAACGTCTGTAATGTGATTGCAAAATGAATACATTGAATATTATTTCTTTTCAGTTTTTAATGATGGCTCATCAAGAGAATTGATGAGCCTTACTGGAACCATTCCTGTGATTTACAGAGGTATGAGTGTGCCTTGCTTGTAGATTACCTGAAATGACTGTAAACTGTGTTGCCACCATAACTTCTGCCCTGTAATCTTCTTGTTTTATAACTAGGGTGTGTTCTATTATGATATTGGGGAGCATCTATGGCACAGTGACAGGGAACCTGCTTTACATGCAGAAGGTCCCAGGTTCAATTCCTAGTTTTCTCTAGTTAAAAAGAAGAAGATAGGATCAGTGAATGGAGAACCAGTCAAAGCAGGCAATACTGACCGAGATAGAACAGTGCTCTGACTCCGTATAAAGTGACTTCACGTGTCTGTGTGACATAAATGTGCTGATGTGTACAGATGTCCAAACTTGACCTCAAGCAGGAGAGACTAGAGAGATTTGTAGATATCATCATGTCTGTTTAGAATAAAATCTTATTCTGGATTTTGAAGAGCTCCAAATGAGCCTCTGTATTAGCAAGTGTAAAAACGGTACAAACAAACAGGCTTAACTTCACTATGCACCTATTTGACTGAAGTTATGCTGGGGAGATCTTGGTGTCATACTAGAAATTTTGGATAAATCTGTATATCAGGGAAGTGTGAAGCATATTTAGTTGCTGAGATGTAAAGGATTATACGTTTACCCCGTGCATGCTAGGTTTTGCACCCTTCATAAAGCTGTCACTGAAAGTTGAAGGACCTTCTGTTTGGTGTGAGGATCTGCTGCCAGAAAAGAAAACCGGCAGCTTCCCCATGTGCACATTTATGTGAATAGTGTCTCTATCGATCCTGCCACTCTTGGGAATTATTAAAAACAAACAGCAAATATTGTAATGTCATTATATAAAAATGTACTTCATCACTGTGTTAATTTAAAGAGCTGGAGAAGGTACAGAAATAGGCAACTAAAGTAATCAGGGTTTGGACATCTTACTACTGATGCTTATAAAGCTATGTTTTTTATGGGGGGGGATGGGGGCTAATGTGTATAAAACTATAAAACGTGGAAAGGTTGGAGCGGCTTCTCAAATGCTAGAGCCCAGGGTCATTCAATGAAATTAGATAGCATTGGATTGAAGACAAACAAAAGTCCTGAGACACTTAGCTGTGGAATTCATTACTGCAAGATACATCAATAGCCATATTTTGATAATTTTGAAAATAAGTGGATTTATTATATCTGCCAATGGTTAACCATAACGTTGTGGAGCCTCTATAATCAGATACAGTATGCTTCTGAGTCCTGTATGCTTGGGATAAGTTATCAAACTCTGTTTGTGAGGTTCCAGGGAACTTAGTTGGCTACTCATAGAAACAACATGCTGAACCAGAAGTACCTTACAGTGCAATCCTAAACAGAGTTATTCTCTCCTAAGCCCATTCACTTCAGTGGACTTAGAAGGTGGAACTTTACTTAGGATTACAGTGTTAGCTTAGTCTAGTAGGTCAGTTTTTAATAGATATGTCTGCATTGTGTATCGGGGAGGGCGGGGTATAAATGGAATAAAATAAATAAATAATAATCATTGTTTTTTTAAAAAAACCTCTTTAGGCAACACATACAATATCCCGATATGCCTGTGGTTGCTGGATACATATCCGTTCAATCCCCCCATCTGTTTTGTTAAACCCACTAGTTCAATGACAATTAAAACTGGGAAACATGTTGATGCAAACGGAAAGATATATCTTCCATATCTACATGAGTGGAAGCATGTAAGTATAATTTTATAGTTATTTAAATTAGTCTGGGATTTATTTTACCATTGAAGAATTATTACTACTTCCTATCTTAAAATGAAAACTCAGATTAATTGTACGTAAATTAATGAATTAATGTGATACAGATACTACGTTGAAGCCTATAAAACTCAAGTAAAATGGTTCCTTCTGACGCTGATCCTTCCAGCCTCCCCATTCCCTCATCAACCTCTCTGAAAATCTGGTGGTGTGGGTTGTGGAAAATTCATGCTCAAAGTGCCCCATAATATAAGAGTGCAGTGAGGAGGGGAAATCAAGCAAAACTGCTCCTCTTCACTCCTCTGCTAGCAAAGTTTCTGTCACATAAGAGGTTCCATTAACAGGAAGCGGAAGTAGGGAGTGTTTTGCCTGACGGAAAGATATATCTTCCATATCTACATGAGTGGAAGCATGTAAGTATAATTTTATAGTTATTTAAATTAGTCTGGGATTTATTTTACCATTGAAGAATTATTACTACTTCCTATCTTAAAATGAAAACTCAGATTAATTGTACGTAAATGAATGAATTAATGTGATACAGATACTACGTTGAAGCCTATAAAACGCAAGTATAATGGTTCCTTCTGACGCTGATCCTTCCAGCCTCCCCATTCCCTCATCAACCTCTCTGAAAATCTGGTGGTGTGGGTTGTGGAAAATTCATGCTCAAAGTGCCCCATAATATAAGAGTGCAGTGAGGAGGGGAAATCAAGCAAAACTGCTCCTCTTCACTCCTCTGCTAGCAAAGTTTCTGTCACATAAGAGGTTCCATTAACAGGAAGCGGAAGTAGGGAGTGTTTTGCCTGATTTCTGCTCCTCACTGAAGCTCCACTGTGCTCTGTGGTATTTTGCCCATAAAGTTTTTGTGACCCACAGTATTGTAAATCTGATTCCAGAGAATATTACTCGACCAGTTAAAATACACGGTCTCATTAGTTTAACTGAAACAGATTGAAAATTAAAGCATAACTTTTGGAGATACAGTGGTGGGTTTCTGGGTGGGTTGTTCTATCAACAAACATCATCTCCGCACGTTTTGTGGGCTCAAAATTAAATGAGTCACTGAGTAGTTGTAGCGTGAGAGATTTTTGGTACCCTGTACGGTGGCTCAAGTGATTAAGACGCTGAACTGCAGGCTGTGGAAGGTCGGTAGTCCAGCAGTTCGAGACCCGAGTGTGCCGCATGATGGAGTGAGCTCCCGTCTCTAGTTCCAGCTCCTGCCAACCTAGCAGTACGAAAGCAAGAAATTGCAAGTAGATAAATAGGTACCACTTCGGTGGGAAGGTAACAGCGTTCCGTGCACCTTGGTGTTTAGTCATGCCGGCCACATGACCACGGAAACATCTTCGGACAGCGCTGGCTCTTTGGCTTTGAAACTGAGATGAGCACCGCAACCCTAGAGTTACATTCGACTGGCTTTCGAGCAAGGGAACCTTTACCTTTACTTAATATTTTGGTGCAGCTGTGTGCCTTAGTTTATTAAACAATTTCTACGGATTGTGTGCAGGTAAAACCAATATATTATGTCAGTAAAAACATTTAAAAGTTCAGAGTTCATAAGACAGATCGCTAGGCCAGTTGTTTTTTTTAACTAGCCCATAAATGCATTACAAAATAAAACTGGTTTGTTGGCTTTCTGAAATGTAGCTAGAAAAAGTGCTGCCCTGCAGGACCTCTTCAAGCAGTCCAGGATCTAGAAGTATACTATACAGAAGATATACATACACTCTGACTTGAGGGCATTTCTCAAAGGAGCTGCTGCTCAAAGGAGTCTTAATTGGTTTGCAGTTCCATAAGGGAGAAGCAAACTTTGAGAGATGTGAGCCTTAGGTCATGAAGGATTTTGTGAGACTCAGGTCATGAAGGATTTCAGAAGATGAGAACTGCATCTTGAATTGGGCCTGAAGTCAAACTGATAATTTAAGCAGTTGCTTCAAAACCAGTTTAACATCTTGATGCCTAACCTTAGCTAAAAGACAGGCAGCTGCATTTTTTAGCAGCTGTAGCTTTGGAGTTGTCTTTGAGGGCAGCCTCACATAGAATGTATAGTAGTAATCTGGTCTCAGATTTAGGGAAATATGGATTATCATAATTGAGTCAAGGAGGAAGGGTAATTTCTGAATAAAATGTGAACTGAAAGAGAGAAGAAGAGATTGGATTTATACCCCGCCCTTCACTCGGAGTCTCAGAGTAGCTTACAAACTACCTTCCCCTCCCCACAACATAACAACCTGTGAGGTAGGTGGGGCTTAGAGAGCTCTTTCAAGAACAGCTCTGACGGAACTATGGCTTGCCCAAGGTTATCCAGCAGCTGCAAGTGGAGGAGTGGGGAATCAAACCCGGTTCTCCCAGATTAGAGTCCGTGCACTTAACCACTACACCGAAGTGGCTCTCTGAAGAAGACATCTGAGCAGCAGCCTGCTTTCCAGTAATGAAAGGGAATTGGGGAGAGCCCCTGGTTCTTTCACTTGATCAGCTAAGGTCACCTTCTGTAATGATTTCATGTCTTGGTGTGAGTGTTTTTTTAAATGTTTAGTTTGACTGCAGTAATGTAAGGAGAGTGATAGAGGGAGAGAAGTGTGATATGACTGGCTGATGACTGAGAGTGGGGGAGGAGAGATGTCTGAGGCGATTCAGTGTTCATGAAGAGAAGAGTGTGGAGAGTCTATATGACAGAGGAAGGAGTTGGAGCTTAGTTTAGCCTGTGTGGCTATATGAGACAGAGAGTTTAGCCTGTGTGGCTATATGAGAGAGAGAGTTCAGCCTGTTTGGCTATATATGAGCAAGAGAGTTCAGCCTATGTGGCTATATATATGAGATAGATAGATAGAGAGAAAGAGAGTGAGAGAGAGAGAGAAGCCTGTCAGAGTTGAGTTTTAGTGTCTGAGAGACTGTGTGTGACGTCAAGCCTTGTCAGTTATATTTTCTTTTTCAACCACAGTTCAAACATACCCAGAAACCTATTTTGTTCTTTAATAAATAAATCATTATTTGTTTAAACTTATCCCAGAAATCAGAACAGCCCTTCCTCAGGGCCACATAGTCCTCTGAAGCTCCCAGACACTGTGTCATTCTACCAAAATAGAGAGAGTTGGGATTTTTAATTCCTGGTGGCAGCAGAAATCTACTAAATTCATGTACACAGAGTGGGTTTTAAAGGAGAAACAGTCTCCCCAATAAGAAGGACGCCACACCTTCATTCCATCCAAGATATATTGTGCTATCTTAATTGGCTGTGATAAATTCTCTGTATGTCTGTAGACTATATATCTGTGTGTATTCAATATTAACAGTACAATCAACATGAATGGCAGGCCAGAGAAAGTACAGACCAAATGCAATTCTCTCTGTCCACCTAGTCCATTGTGTGGTTGTATGGTATAGTGTTGGTGCACTTAAATGACACTGTTCTAGGTCACAGATTGTATACTGTACCTGAAGGATAGTGGAAAGGAATTAAATGGATAAAGGACCAGTAAATAAGGCATATGGAGGGATAAATGCCCACTGCATAACAGTAGTGTTTACAAGCAGACCAATCATTGATGAATGGTTTGTTTCCCAAGGTCATTCTAAAGGTGTTTGGAGGAGTAAAGCAAGGGCTTAACCCCTTTCTTTGATGGTTTAGAATACAGTGTTTATGCACACTGGGCACAAAAATGCATCAATCATTTGCAAAATCGGTATTCCTAATTATAGGGGGTTGGATCCAAATCACTGCAATCTGGTCTTTCCTCCTGCAGCCCATTGAGGCCTCCCTGGGAAATTCTTTTCCTGGGGTTTAAGAGGACCCTCAGGAGTAGCATGGAGGGGCAGAATTGAAGGTATAGGAGGTGGAATCAGCCAGAATCACACTTTTTCTCCTCTGATAGGGGAAGTGCTGTTTTATACCAGCTAAATAGCAACTTTGGGTATAGCCCCCAAAGTTTAAGGATTCTGCCCTTTGCTCAGCAATATGCTACTCTGATATCTTTAATTATTCCTGTTTCTAGACAATCAAACGGTAAAGTAGAATTTCCCTCATGATAGGAGGTGTGGCACTGTGTTTTAATGTGCCTTCCCAGTGTTCTCCTGTTCTGTGTTGAACACTCTCTGGGAGTAACTTTGAAAATCTTTTTATATTCTATGTGTAAAAAAATCAAGCTATTGTTATCCCAAGATCTTTGATCTGGTTTATGAAGTTTTTGTGAAGCGTTGTCTTTTTAATTAATTAATTAATTAATTTTGTGCGTCGGCACACACTGTCATTCTTGCTCTGCTTTTATATTGAGAGCCAGCTTGGAATTGAAATTAGTCGGACCGCGTCCTTGCCAGTCATTGTCAACATTGGCACTTTGTGTCGTTCATTGAACAGAGCTCAGTTTCTCATCAGCACTTTCCAGAGAGATGTTATCCTTTTAATTTTTGACGGTTAGCCCTTGCCAGCTGAATTGAACGAAACGTGGCTGAAACCTATAAATAGAAAGAATAGCCAGCTGACACTCAGCAGCTAAGTGGTGAGATGTTGTCATTGTTAATGGACAATTAAGCTGTCTTTGGATGGAGAAAAGACCAACATGCTATCATCTGCTCTTTCCCCCAGCCACAGTCTGATTTGATAGGACTGATTCAAGTTATGATTGTGGTGTTTGGAGAAGAACCTCCTGTCTTTTCTCGGCCTACTATTTCAGCATCTTATCCACCTTACCAGGCAACAGGACCACCAAACAGTAAGCTAATTATTTCTTATTATACATATGGAAAAGCAGTAACAAAAGCAAGGAAATGAACGGTTGGGGTTCTGAGGGAAGATTCCAGTAATTGTAACATTTGTCTGTTCTGAGCGTTAAACGAAATGACATGTGGGACAGGGGATCCTTCATGGTTTTTTAAAAACTCGATCTGCATGTTATACCTGCCCTTTTCCTCCTGCAAAACTAAATGCCGCTAAAGTGGAGCCTTTAAATTATGGAGGAGGCGTGCGAGGAAAGGACTGAACGTTCCGTCCCCCATAACTCTTCTGTTGGGTTCAAAAGTTACACGCACAAGATCCTAATTACAGATCTCCAATGCAGTGCTCCAATGCGGTGGCTCAAGTGGTTAAGACGCTGAACTGCAGGATGTGGAAGGTCAGTAGTTCAGCAGTCCGAGCCCCGAGTGTGCCGCACTCCCGCCTCTAGTTCCAGCTCCTGCCAACCTAGCAGTTCGAAAGCAAGAAATTGCAAGTAGATAAATAGGTACCACTACAGTGGGAAGGTAACAGCGTTCTGTGCGCCTTGGTGTTAAGTCATGCCGGCCACATGACCACGGAAATGTCTTCGGACAGCGCTGGCTCTTCAGCTTGGAAACGGAGATGAGCACTGCAACTCTAGAGTCAGATTCCGACTGGCTTTCAAGCATGGGAATCTTTACCTTTTTTTATGCAGTGTAGTTTGATGCTGAGGCATATCTACATGTACAGTTGTTGCTTAAAATAACCGTTTTGTGTGCGTGCATGGGGATGGTGGTGGACATTATGTAGTTCTGCTGGTCCAACCAGTGATCAGTCCAGCCTGACATCTTGGGGCAACGTTGTCAACCTTAACGTTTCAGAGGTTTTAGCCGTACAGAGTATATAAACAATGCTCTGATCACCAGTAGCTTATCATAGTGATTGTTAGATTAGAACATGTTGGTTAATGTCTTACAAGTAAAGATTTCTGTAAAATGTGTCAAGTTTTTTTTTCCTGTGATTGCTTCCGTTACCCATATTGCTAGGATTCATTCACCCATTAGCCCACACCTTTTGTTTGAAACCTTATGCCATTGTCATTATGAACAGCTGTCTTTAATATACAGTTATGATTATTTTACCCTCTCCAGAGCTGTATTGGGCCTTCTCATTCCTGTGCTAGTTTTTTAAATTAACAACAAAACAGCTGAAAAGATACCCTGTTGGTTTTCTGGCATCTTTAATAACACTCATATTTTATTTCTTCATTATTTTTTAATTCACTTCTGTTTGAAACTTTGAATCTCTTTGGGAGTGGACAGTCTTATGTAGTTATTGATAATATGCATGAATTAGACTGTTACAGTCAAACGTGGGATATGTGGAAACTATCCAAACTGGAAGGAATGTGGACCAAAGATAGGGCTGCGGGGAGAGAATGACAGCACAATTCTGTCTAGAAGTTCAACATAAGTGTTTTGGCCTTCCATAATAACTGCACCTCAGGGATAATGTAGAGTTGTACAATATAGTAAGGCGATCTAAACTGTTTTATTTAAAACCTTTTTATGACTGCCCAAGGTGGCAAACTTGAAAACGTTTGAACATTAATACAGCATTGAAAACAATACAGAAAATAATTCAATTAAGGCATAAACACAAAGCACCCAAACCAGGGAGGAGGGCCAACAGCAGTTAATTGGGGTTTATGCCCAATAAAACGAAGAACTCTGCACCCGCTGGTGGAAGCAGCTTATCCAACCAGCTTACAAACCAAAATAGCACTGTATAAAAACATACAGCAGACCCGGGTGCCACAAGATGGAGTGAGCTCCTGTCTCTAGTTCCAGCTCCTGCCAACCTAGCAGTTCGAAAGCAAGAAATTGCAAGTAGATAAATAGGTACCACTTCAGTGGGAAGGTAACAGCGTTCCGTGTGCCTTGGTGTTTAGTCATGCCGGCCACATGACCACGGAAACGTCTTCAGGCAGTGCTGGCTCTTCGGCTTTGAAACGGAGATGAGTACTGCAACCCTAGAGTCGGACTCGACTGGCTTTCGAGCAAGGGAACCTTTACCTTTACCTATGGTTCCTGGAAGGAGGGGAAGGGTGAGAGGGGGAGGGAGAGGTTCAGCATGCAGACTCTTCAGTGTGTGCTAATGGAATGTGCCTGGAAGGAGGAAATGCGGGGGCACTGTAAGTCTAGGACCGGCAGATTCTGGACAGAAGGGTGGATGATGGAAAGGAAGTAGAGTATGTGGGAAGAGAGGAAGGGGAAGACTGTGCAGCCATATACATACACACATCTCAGTCATGGAGAAAACACGCCCTTGCCTCTTACTAATAACACGGAGGCGTGTGGTGTACAATAAACAAATGAAATGTAGCGTGTAGCGAGAATGATGAAATTAAATGAAACTTTCTCCTCCTTTGAGGTTTCATATTTCCAAACATAAAGCCAATCTGTCTACCTATACGTTGCTCTTCTTCCAAGGACTTCAGAGCAACACCCATGGTTCTCTGCTCTCGTTTTGCTTTCACAATCACTTTGTGCGGTAGGGAAGGCTGAGAGGGAACGATTGGACTAAAGTTACCCAGTGAGCTTCATGATTTAGTGTAGAGTTGAACCCAGGGCTCCCCCAGTCCTAGCATTACTTTAGTCCTTGCACCACACCTGTACGTTCCTTCCTTTTTCATGGTGTATCTCAGACTTCAACACATCATGCAAAGCACATTTGCACTGTGGCAGATCCTTTGTCTGGTGCTCTGCTGTTGTTGTTCAGTCCCACAGTCGAGTCAGACTCTTTGCGACCCCATAGACCACATCACGCGAGGCCCTCCTGTCTTCCATCCTCCTCCGGGGTTTGCTTAATTTCACGTACGTTGCATCTACAACACTGTCTAACCATCTCCATCCTTTGCCCCGGTGCAGGAGTTTGCGAAACAGCACTGGTAGCATAACTCTTTACACAAGCAGGTCTTTGTATCCACCCCTCTGTTTTCTGAGATGTACTTTGGCGTTTTGTTGAAATGGTTAATATTCTACAGGGTCATCTCAAAGACCAGGCGCCTTTTAAATATTTTCCTGTCTCTTGTAGCGGGAGAAGAGGCATGTTTGCTTTTCCCTTAAAAAACAAAATTTCTATTGACAGAGGAGGATAAATGGCAAGATTTATCCTCTGGATTTATCCCTGGTGGAACTCTCCCGGTTCAGCTCTGGGCCCTGTGTAGGGCTGCCAAATCCCTCCGGGGGGCGGAAATCCCCCTGCCCCAGAGGCCCATTCCCCGACGCCGGGGAATCGGGCCCCGGGGTTAACCCCGCCCCAGCATGCACGTCACAGGGAAGTGACGTTATGACGCCGGGCACGCTGGGGGCAGGGCCTCGGCCATACAAGGGAAAACTCTATGGTTTTCCCTTGTATGGTTGTGGCTCTGCCCCCAGTGTGCCCGGCGTCATGACGTCACTTCCCTGTGACGTGCATGCGGCGTGTGCGCACCGGGAGCCGTGCAGGAGTTCCCCGCCAGCAAGGTAGGTAACACTTGGCAACCCTAGCCCTGTGGGATTTAGTGCAGTTCTGCAAGGCCTGTACAACGGAGATGTTCTGCCAGGCCTATGGTTGAGGTGGCGGCAATTCATATATCATGGCCTGGCCTCCCCTGCTCTGCTCTGTTTGTACTATTCTGCCCGGCTATACTCCATCGTGGCTGATCTTCCCACCCACCCACTGCTTGTACTATGCCATCCACAGTTACCCACAATGAGAATCCCATGGGACTTAATCATGTAGCAGACGCCCTCGAACGTTTAACTTAGTAATGTTTTAGAAAGGCTGTGTTTTAGATTTTAAGGTACTGTTATATTTTAATTATGTTGTATGTTTTAACCATGTTGTAACCCACCCTGAGCCTGCTTGCAGGGCGGGTGGGCTAAAAATTGGACAAATAAATAAGATACGTAGTTTCCATTAACCGTGTATTGTCTGAAAGGTTACGTTAGTAGAGAACTCTTACCCTTGGGGAATTTACTGTGTCCAGGGCTTTTTTGTGTGGAAAAAGCCTAGCAGGAATTCATTAGCATAATGGGCCACACCCAACAGCAAAAACTCATTAGCATATTAGGCCACACCCCTGACAACACAGCTCATTAGCCTATTAGGCCACACCCCCATGTTACCAGAAGTGGGCTCATCCAGCCACACCCACCTTTTGCTTCTTATTCTGTTTACTTTGTTGTCAAAACTCAGGGCTTTTTTTTGTATGAGGAACTCCCTTGCATGTTAGGCCACACACCCCTAATGTAGCCAAGCCTAATGAGTTTCTGCTGTTGGGTGTGGCCTATTATGCTAATGAGTTCCTGCTGGGCGTGGCCAACTCTGGAGCCAGTCGGAACTCCGTTCCTGTGCGTTCCTGCCCAAAAATAGCCCTGACTTTGTCGCTGGTAGGAAGGTGCTTTTGTATTAACGGTTTTTGCAAGAATTTCACACGGGATCATTGTGCTGGCTGTGGGTTGAATCCTGTCAGCTTTGTCACTTCCTCCAAAGGGATGAGACTGTGACCTTGTGCAGTTCCCCTCCTCCTCATGATCGCTGTCCAGGTGAGTCCCCCCTGCATAGCCTTTTCAGAATCAAAGTGGGTCCCTCTTGCACGAATGGAAACTGCTAGTAGGATCCAACCCATTGTTTGTCAGATATGTGTTTGTGTATTTATGCTTGATGGATCTAGGTTTGGTTTTGGAAATCCATAAAAGTTTCCAAGGCCCATAAAGGTTTCTGACCCCAGATGGCAAGCCTGGGCTTCCCTCCAGAGAGGGAGAAAATAGGAATCATATTAAAATCAGCGTGGGGGGGAGTTAGTGCAAAAAGACTAGATGAAAGTGAGCTTTATGGTTCTCTGGAGTTACCTGTTTCAAAGTAATGAATTTAGATTTTATAGTCAATCTGTTAATGTGAGACCATTACAGTTGTGCCTGAGCAAGCGATGTTGTTCTGCTTACGAAAAAATAAAATAAGGAACAAAAGGAAAAGCAGGTCGTACAGCAACAGGTTAAGACTTGCTGTAGTTTCGGTATTAACTGAATGCATAAGTGACCTGGTTAATGTTTACTGTGCTTACCACTATGCAGTCTATTTTTGTATGCCAAGAAAAGATCTTGGGGGAAACTTGTAACATTTCGCCCCGCTGAATTGCATTAGAGCTTTGCTTTTCCTTCGATACTCGTTCCCCTTTGTACATGTGAGGGTTCCCTATTGGGCTAACATGTTAGCAGATATCTGAAATCTCCTAGCGGCAGAATCCTTGCGATAGTTTTAAGTTCATTGCTGTCTCTGCCCCTGGGACGCCAAGGGAGGTTCACAAGGCTACATTATACTAAGAATATTAGCACTGCCAGTAGGTGTCAGTCAAACATAGATTGCTAGCAAGACGTTTTGTTGTGTAGTTCTCTAATCTGAAGATCTGCAGCACTCAAAAGCTCCAATTCAGATGCTGAAATATGTCTCTGTGGAAGCGTCCACGGGGAATTAGTTTAAAGAATGTTTCAAATCAAAGCAAGTTAAGTGTGTCATGGTGGGGACTTTTGGAGACTAAAGGAGCCATACAGGAAGCCTTTGGGAACGAACTGAGCTCCTGGGTAACTATTTTATTTATTTATTTGGTGTAGTGGTTAAGTGTGCGGACTCTAATCTGGGAGACCCGGGTTTGATTCCCCACTCCTCCACTTGCACCTGCTGATGTGACCTTGGGCCAGTCACAAGCTCTGGCACAGCTGTCCTTGAAAAAGAGCAGTTTGGGTCAGAGTTCTCTCAGCCCCACCCACCTCACAGGGTGTCTGTTGTGGGGAGGGGAAGGGAAAGGAGTTTGTAAGCCGCTCTGAGACTCCAAGTGAAGGGCGGGGTATAAATCCAATCTCCTCCTTCTCCTCCTCCTCCTTATTTATTTATTTATTTATTTATTTATTTATGCTTTCGGCTTGTATCCCGCTCGAACCCCAAGAGGTCTCTGAGCGGCTTACAGTTACTCTTTATCCCTATCTATGGCCACACATAGTCAGGGGTGGGGACTGCCCTACCGGCACCCAGTGGAGGGACTTGCTGTTTGTTTGTTTTTTCGGTTCGGCTTATTGTTGGCTCGGCTTTCGGTTTGGCTCCTCTTCTTCTCCTTTCGGTGGTCTTCGGCATCGGCTGTATTCGGCGGACCCATCTGTTACCTAGTTACCTATCCTGAATAAATGTTCTGAGGAAAGCTTTTTACATTTGCCGAATGATGTCTAACTGAAGTCTGTGATATACCTGATCCTTAATATGTTCTTGGGTTGTTAAAATAATTATTGTTGTTTTGCTTAGCTTCCTACATGCCAGGTATGCCAAGTGGAATGTCTCCTTACCCCCCAGGACCACCTCCCAACTCAAGGTAAACTATGGTTTGTTTAATCTACTCATGAAATAGGAAATGCTGCCGATAAGTGAAATATGCTGTGATGTGCAGTTTCTGGGATTGGGACCACTGGCCTTTACAAGAGAAATGTTAGGCGTCTCCTTGAATGTGTTTTTGTTCTCAGTTTTGTTTCATCTGGCCTTGAAGGTCAAGTCAAGTAAAAGCAAGTATGTTTGTTTAAATGCAACATTAAAAGCTGTGAATTTAAGGACTCTCAGTAAATTATTGCAGATCAGTCCTACAGTTGCTTTGCTGCCTATTCAGTTTAAACCTATCTTAAAAGTTCTGGCTTATTACCTTTATAAAGCTCTTAATGGCTTGAGACCAGAGCACACAAAACACTGTCTGCTACAATATTCATATACAGGTTTATTAAGATATATATATATCTCTCTCAGTCTCTTTCCATTATCAGAGGTGAGGCACGTAATAAAAAGGGAGTTCACTTTCAATTACGGCACAGCAATTATGAAATTCTCTCTCTCTCTGTCTGTGTTGAGCTTTGTAAGCTTTGGGTGCCAAGTGAGGTCTCATTTATCTAGGCATTTTGGGTTTAATTCCATGATCCCATCAGCCAAGGATAAGGGATCTTTTTTGCATTACCACTCACCCCAGCAGTCTCACCCAACCTCGGGAAAGATGATTCACAGGGCTGTGCCGTCCATGTGATTATTGAACTCATAAAGCTGCCTTACATATATCAGACCATTGGTCTGTCAAGGTCAATATCATCTTCTCAGAATTTCAGTGTGGCTCTCCAGGGTCTCAGAGTTCTTTCCCATCCCCTATTGCCTGGTCCTGTTTTTAAACTGGGTATGCCGGGGTCGAACCTTTTGCCTTTCCCCAAACCATTAGCCATGTCAGTCGGGAAGCTATGGTGAACATAAGAACATAAGAGACGTCAATGTTGGATCAGGCCAAAGGCCCATCTAGTCCAACACTCTGTCACGCAGTGGCCAAAAATACCAGGTGCCACCAGGAAGTCCACCAGTGGGGCCAGGACATTAGAAGCCCTCCCACTGTTGCCCCCCCCCCAAGCACCAAGAAGACAGAGCATCACTTGCCCCAGAGCCCCTACCTATACCTTGTGGCTAATAGCCACTGATGGACCTCTGCTCCATATGCCTATCTAATTCCCTTTTGAAGCCGTCCATGCTTGTAGCCACTGCCACCTCCTGTGGCAGTGAATTCCATGTGTGAATCACTCTTTGGGTGAAGAAGTACTTCCTTTTATCCATTCTAACCTGACCACTCAGCAATTTCATGGAGTGCCCACAGGTTCTTGTATTGTGAGAAAGGGAGAAAAGTACCTCTTTCTCTACCTGCTCTTTCCCATGCATAATCTTGTAAACCTCAATCATGTCACCCCTCAGTCGTCGTTTCTCCATGCTAAAGAGCCCCAAGCGCTTTAACCTTTCCTCATAGGGAAAGTGTTCCAATGATGAAAGGGCTATTTAGCTTGGAGAAAAGACGACTGAGGGGTGACATGTGAAGTGGGGAAATTGCTCTTTCCCGTTATCACTGTAGCTTTCTGACCTGCATTTGTTTGTTAGTCCATGTGGATTCCAAGACCCCAGGAATCTTATTTATTCAGGGGTGGGTGGGACTACTGGTGTGGGAGGGTATGAGCAAGCTCAGTGGCCTTGAGCTCCTTTTGCTGGTGGATTGCAGGTTCCAAGCCTGCGGGTTTTTTATGGGTTAATTTTCACAGTGTGTTTGTACTGTATATTTTCTGTTTTGTAAACCACCTTAAGAGCCTGAATTGGCCGAGCAGCATGGAATATAAATGTTTCCAATAAGCGTAGGGCAAAGGCAAATATGGGGCTGCGGTGGCTCAAGTGGTTGAGACGCTGAACTGCAGGCTGTGGAAGGTCGGTAGTTCAGCAGTTCGAGACCCGGGTTGCCACATGACAGAGTGAGCTCCCGTCTCTGGCCCCAGCTCCTGCCAACCTAGCAGTTCGAAAGCAAGAAATTGCAAGTAGATTAATAGGTACCGCTTCGGTGGGAAGGTAACAGCATTCTGTGCGCCTTGGCGTTCAGTCATGCCGGCCACATGACTACGAAAACGTCTTCGGTCAGCGCTGGCTCTTCGGCTTGGAAACGGAGAAGAGCACCGCAACCCTAGAGTTGGATTCGACTGGCTTTCGAGCAAGGGAAACCTTTACCTTTTCCTAAAATTTTATACCGGCCATAGTGTGTTCCTTTTTAAAAAGATAATTGTTTTTACAATATTTCTGTGCTATTATTAATCTGTAGGCAATTTCAGCTATTTAAATGAATGCTTAATATTGGTGTGCCTTTCCTCCCCCCTCCCCCCCAAAGTGTTTATCCAGGCTATCCCTACCCTCCCCCTAGTGGACCATTTCCAGCGACAACTAGCACACAGCACTACCCTTCTCAGCCTCCTGTGACTACTATGGGTGAGTACCTTTGAAAATGTCATCCCCCGCCCCCCCGAGATACAGAGAGTTAATTTTCTAACTGTAATCATGCTGCAAAAATCACAGTTGTCAAAGCACCGGATGTATCATTTCCATCATTAAAATGTCTAAATAACAGGTATTAGAGAACGTGGATCAAAAGCGTAGTGTTTGTATAAAAGTTTCGACCTGTTTTATGTTTTAGTTACATTATAGCTTTGTTTTCTTTGTTGAGCTAAAGAGCGATCATTCACTTACCTGTGCTCATTCGGTCTTTGATATTTCCTGTTTATTGCATTGCTCCGGTTTAATGAAATTCACATTGAAAATACAAATGGCACCAGGTCAGCAAGGCATAACATTCAGAAGGCAAATAAAATTCAACGTTTTTGGGGTTGGATCCAGTGGAGTTTACCCTGCCCTCCACTTCCCACAGTTGCCTGCAATCAGGTAAAATTACTGACTCCTAATTACAGTGCCACCCCAGGGTGCTGTGGTGCATTTTGTGTAAGAAGGTTCATGAACCCTCAAAGAGTTTGGATGACAAATGGGCTGCTGGAAGAAGGTGGGGAAAGATATTCTTTACCAGTTCATTCTGCCAGCCTTTCTGTTGCATCCACCTCTTTGTGGTCTTCTTCGATGGGCCGATTTGTAATTATGAACTTTCAGGTGGTCAGAAGGTATTAAATCATGCTGCTGAGCACATGAAGAACGGCTGCACTGAAGTAAATATCCATTTGGTCCAATGTGAAAAGTCATGGTCATGGAGTAGCTGCAGATAAAGTGACAGTACACACTGCAGAGCTGCGGTGGCTCAAGTGGTTAAGACGCTGAACTGCAGACTGTGGAAGGTCAGTAGTTCAGCAGTTCGAGACCCGAGTTGCCGCATGACGGAGTGAGCTCCCGTCTCTAGTTCCAGCTCCTGCCAACCTAGCAGTTCGAAAGCAAGAAATTGCAAGTAGATAAATAGGGACCACTTCGGTGGGAAGGGAACAGCATTCTGTGCGCCTTGGTGTTTAGTCATGCCTGACTATGGAAATGTCTTCAGACAGCACTGGCTCTTCGGCTTTGAAACGGATATGAGCACCGCAACCCTAGAGTCGGATTCAACTGGCTTTCAAGCAAGGGAACCTTTCCCTTTACTCACTGCAGAATATTTACCCATCATTTGTCATGTCAGCTCAGGGTCCTGAACCTTAAATACAGATTGATTTTGATTTTGAATTCTGCAATCGTTTTGTGTGTGTGGTTTTTTGTTTTTTTAAAAATAATGTCAAGCTACCATGGGCAGATACCTGACATATTCGTCAGGATTTTATATAAAGTGTGTATCTATAAAATGCAGATTAGCAGGTATCCTCAAATTAGCTTGGTCTTCATTATGGGTCTTGGGTGCTGCAGAGAGAGTATATCTGTATAATGATGTATTACAAAGTATTAAATATCAGTCCTCATTTAGGAAGTTAGTCCTAAGATTTTCAAAGCGGTCACATCTTAGAACTACAATGTATAAAGATGACCTGTAGCTGGTTTTGTCTCCAGCATAGATGATTAATAAGGAAAACTTTAAAGTCCGCCAAAAAACGGTGCTATTTAGAAAGCAAAAAAAGCGTTGGGTCCAATGTTCCCTCTAAGCTGTGGTGTCTTGTGAGCAAAAATTCCACTTTGTGAGTGACTGGCATTCAAGCTGTGAGCGATCAGTTTGGCTACTCCATGAATCAGTTTGCTCTGGAGCCACATCCTTCCTGAGCGAAGACCAAACTGTGTGAGCCGGAGGCTAAAAAACTGTGAGCTAGCTCACACTCACTCAGCTTTGGGAGAACACAGCACAGCTGAATGAGTGAGCATAGTCCTGGAATAGCACTTGGGAGGAAAGAAAGAGACAGCAGGGGTAGAGATGTAAAATTTCTGGAAATTTTGTAGCTCGGAAAACCCCCCGTTTTTTTCCAGTTTTTTTCACGCTAACTCAGCTTAGTGGGAACACTGGTTGGGTCTAAAGACGTGAGAATGGATCACTGCTTGCAGAGCGTTGTTGTGTATTCTGTGACCCTTTCACACCGCTGGGGAACTGCTTCTAAGGACTGAGGGCCGCATAGGTTGCAACACAAGGGGCTATGGCTGGAAGGGGAAGTCCACAGAAATCGACATAACCCCTGCTGTTCACACAAGAGCTGCCATCATTTGGCACAGAGGAGGAACCTAATACGAGCTTTCCCCTGAGTTATTTTTGTTGTCAAGCAACAAAAAGTATGTATGTATTTATTTATTTAACTTTCCACTCGCTATACCGCCCTAACCCCTAAGGGTCTCTGGGCGGTTTACATTTGTAATGGTTCTAAGTAACCCTTCTTCCCTATGTATTGACAATGCAAAAAATTATTTTCCTTTTAATTGAAGAGTTTTATGGAAAAGGTTTAATCTAGGAAGTTTGCAGTGCAGTGTTTTTTATTTATTTGTTTGTTTGTTTATTTATTTATTTATTTATTGTTAACATTTTTACCCCGCCCTCCCTGCGAGCGGGCTCAGGGCAGCTTGCAAGAGGGCACAAGCCCATACATAAAAAACAGACTAAAACAGTAAAACCATTCATAACAACGAAACAAGAATAAAGTGCTCCATACAAACAATATGGTCTCTGAAGAGGGTATCAATCCTTTCATTGGGATGATATTGTCCTGTCGATGGTCCAAGGCCAGTCCAGCGGTATCAGTGCCGTGCAAGATATTGGCAGATCTTCCGGGGACCGCCCCTAACCCCGTTGTTATCTCCACCATTGATGGTGGTGGTAGTGATAACGGCGGCCCCTATATAAAAGTGTTGTTTTGGAGGGCTCAAATTGTTTCTTTTCCAAAGGTAAATAATATGAAATCTGTAACTTTCCTGAAAGTTTTCTTGTTTTTATATTGGTAACATGTTTCTTTGAAAAGGAATGTTAAGAAGTGGGTGATGTGGAAATGGAAATAATGACTTGTATCAAGAAAAGCGAGAAAAGGGATCTATAGTGTACACTTCATTTTATTAAGAAGCTGCTTTCTACTTGTAATGCTTTCTCACGCTAGCATTTTTTAGAGATGGACTGTGTGTGTGAAGTGCCATCAAGACATTTCTGATTTATGGTGACCCTATGAATTAATGACCTCCAAAAAATCCTATTGTTAACAGCCTTGCTCGGGTCTTGCAAGCTGAGGGCTGTGACTTCCTTGATTGAGTCAATCCATCTCATTGACTGTTGGGACTTCATAGTCTCAGCTTTCTGGGATCTTTGGTCTGCTGGAAGAAGCATGTTATGATGTTCCCGTCTTCTTCCCTCCCTTAGAGGCAAGATTTCCCCCCCAGTTTTTCTTTTCCTTCACTGACTGAGCTGCCCTAGTAATATGTTTTCTTCTTTGCTGAAGAACTCTGGCTGTCCCACCCTGTCACTGTACGATAATTTGGCTGTTGGCTCAGCCCAGGAACCTGAGGGAAGGATCAGGAACCTGCTTCAAGTTTTAAATGGCACTCTAGGTGAAATAAAGGTTGAAATTTCTGAGGTAAAACCAGTACATGCCCAGACTTTAGTTCTTATGTTTCAGGTTAATGAGAGTCTCTTAAGCTATTCACAGTTACTTAACATCTTTAAGTTGAGAGGCTTTTGTTTCAGTGTTTTCCTCCAACACTTCAGTACACTTTCTTTGACTTGTTCTCTAACTCTTTTGGTTTCCAGAAGACTGGTACACTCCTTTGTCTCTTGAAACGCCAGTACTTGTCTTGAGTTTTTAACTGACTCTTTCTAACCACACCAGACTAGGGATCTCTGCACTCACTGTTTGAATGGGTAGGGAATTTTCTGCTCTCTAGAAGATCTATCCTCTTTCCTTGGCCTGAATGGGAGTCACCATCTAACTACCCACTCATCCTTGCCAACTTTCCCCAGTTCTCCTGTCTGTTTTAAACTGCTCTCAGCCAAGGCCGAAATCCAAAACTGTCAGTACTCGACTCTTCTCAGCTAGGGCTGAAATCAGACTGTCAGTAAGCCCAGTCAAGACAGAAATCTAACTGAATCTCTCCTCAGCATGCAGCTGTCTCAAGACTTTCTCTGCTCCACTGATGCTAACCAGTCAGGTTCCTTGGAGCAGCCTGTCACTCAAGGCTCTCTGGGTCTGTGAAGAATTAACCCTTCACAGTCCTTTATCTGTTTACACAGCACTTCTAAGCTTTTAAAAAGGTGCAGTCTGTCACACATGTGTTTCCTTATGTCTACTAGAGCTTTTACTAGTTCATGGGAGAATGTGACAATCAGTATTCAGACATCAGTGTTCATGATCTGAGGAAATCAAGTATATCAATCACAATTAAACGTTCTGTCAAGATCTAAATGTGTTGGCCCCTTCATCTCTACACGTGGCAAAAACATTAATTTATTCTCGTAAGCACTCAAAAAGGGACATGACCATAGATTCCTCTCCACTTAGTTTTAACCTAGGTGCAGGCATTTTTACCAGTAAAATATCTGATAAAAGGGTAAACTTTCTTCATACACCAGCACGTTGCACAATTCCTGAAAAGGTATTCAAACCAAGAGTTTGGTTTGTAGATGATGCTTAAGCCATGCACTTTAGAATGGAGGCATCTGTGTCATGTTTAGTTTCTGGATTTTTCTTCATGGAATAATGCAGAGTGAGCTACATGGGGCAAATTTTTCGGGAAGTGATTAGGTCACAAACTATACAACATTAATGTATGTTTGTTCTCTTAATAGCAGATGGCAGAAGAAAGCAGAAACAGGTATGGATTTGTGGTCATTCATATGTTTTCTGGGCAGAAAAGCGGGCACTTGAGAGAAGCTTTGGGCCACAGTTGGGCATTCCTTTGGAGGATGCCGAATTACATTGGATAGGAAAGAGCGGCATGACATGGGATCAGTTAACACCCATCCTCTTGCATACACGGCGACGTCTGTCAGATCCTGATATACTGGTGGTGCATCTAGGAGGAAATGACCTGGGCACAGCAGACAATTT